GACCCCGAGGCAGTGGGAGCAGCAGAACTGTGGTCTAGGGGAGGGGGAGGGGGCATGTTTGGGATGGCATGACTTGTCTCTTGACTGGGTCTTAGGAACCCGGTGAGGTGTAGAAGGCTGGGCTGAGGTCCTTTCCCAAGTCCAGCTGAAGACAGTTTGCCTTTTTTCTCTGCACTGGGATCTTATTAGAGGCTTTGGAGGGTTCCATTGACTAATCAGGATCTTGTGTTTTCTCCAGTTTTGTGAAACATTTAAGGTGTTCTTTTATTTATGTAACTCTCTGATCTTTCCTATTCTGGTTTTACTGTTTGAAATTCAGAGATTCTTGAAACTTCTTTGCAATAAAAAGAAAATGATGGCTTTTTTTTTTTTTTTTTTTTTTTTTTTGCTGTTTGGTGAGAAGCTAGCCCCAGAAATGCTCACTAGGAGAGCAAGCAAAAGATATAAAGGCAGGCGCCTTGGCAACACGAATATATCTCTTAGAAAAACAACTCCCTGGCTTGACTGAGCAGGGTCTACTTCCAGCCCCGTCCCAAGACAGCTGGGAAAGAAAGGTATTTAAATCCCCCTTGATTTTCTACCCATGCGCATTGTGTTTGGCAGATAGTGGGAACTAACTGACTGAATGAAACCAGCATATTTAATGAGTCAGTCAATGAATGAAGGAGTGAAGACCGTGGTTTTTTCTTCTACACATAACTGTTACCCCATCAGTGATGGTGAACCACACGATTCCTTCCCTGAGTGATTGGTAGCTTCTGGAGAAAGTAAAGAAGGTAATTGTTATACTCACAATGGTAGTTCAACAAATACATATTTTTTAATTTGGGCGGATTTATAGAGAAAGTAGTCCATTGTGACTTTACAGTTTCGAGAGAGCTCCCATATAAGCCAGCAGCCCAGTCTCACCATGAGAAAATGTTAGAAAGTCTTCTACCTCCTGTCACTTCAAATCTATCTTCTTTTTAAGCTTAGACTCATAATCTTTGGAAGCCCTTGGATCTGGGTTTACCTTATAGAGTCTGATGAGAAACGCTCACCACAATTATTTCTGCACCTTTGGCTTGGTGAGGAGAACCTCAACCAGCAATCTAGAACCTGGAAGACCCAGCCATTGTGAACACAAAAATATTACCACAGTAGGGTTCTCCCTTACTTGTTTTATGAACTTGCTGTGCGGAATTTACAAAAACCCTTTGGACAATGTGGAGTTTGAAACACCTTGAAGTCCTGAAGAAAAAAGGAACTGTGGAAAACGCGAGGTTCACATTCCAGAGAACAAGGGCGCCCTTGTGAATCATGGGAGGAAGCCACTGTGGTTTTCAGAGGGAAAAACTAACCCAGTGTCTTCTTCGAAATGGAATCTGCTCCTATGAAAATCTGGCTTGCCACCTGATCTGGGATTATGCCAGTGAGTGGGTAGGCAAGGGGAAAGCAGTGAGTGGTAGCCTATTAATTAGTCAATCAAAAAATATTTATAGAATTCTCTGTGTCCATGGCCAGAGGCAGGACTCAGCAGGAAATACAAGAAGAGTAAAAGGTGGAACCTCAGCCCATGAAGGGCTCAGACTCGTCTCCTTGGGAGGCACAGTGTGCATGTGCTAACAGAAAACATCGCACAAGACAGTGTTTTAATTGAGCAGGGTGTCTTACAGGTACTGAGAATGTAGCACAGACACATAGGCTCTTATTCTGGGCTTATCACCATTTACTCTGTACCCTGGGGTGTCAGTTTTCAAAGCAGCTATGAACGTTGCTTTTTATAACTGGTTAGACGAAGTAGTTAGGTCTTACCGGACCTCTTACCATGGAGCACAAGATGATTTGGATGAGAAAATAAGAGGGATGAAGGAGTGTTGTCTTCCAAACGTGATTCCACAGAGATTGGGCTTGTATCCTTAGCAGAGGACTATTTAAAAGCAAACAAGTCATTATAAAAATGCGCAGAGGCCTCCAGTTATAGGATAAATAAGTTCTGGGGTGTCATATGTGCAGCAGGGTGACTGGAGTTAATAATACTGTGTTGTATATTTGAAAGTTGCTGAGAGAGGGGATCCCAAAAGTTCTTACCGCAAGACAAAAACTTATAACCATGTGTGGTGAGGGTTCATTGAGCCTATTGTGGGGATCATTTTGCAAAGCACAGTGGTCACCCTTCATCCGTGGTTTTGGTTACCTGCGCTCAGTCGTGGTGGGAAAGCAGGGGAATCCTCTTTGTGATGCCACAAGGTCCATAGTAACCTCATGTTGTTGTCACGATGCCTACATCACTCACCTCACTTCATCTTGTTACATCGGCCTTTTATCACCTCATGTCATCACAAGAAGGAGGGTGGGTACAGTATGGGAAGATGTTTTGAGAGAGAGAAAGGTCAGAGTTACATAACTTTTATTACAGTACAGTATATTGTTACAATTGCTCTATTTTATGATTAGTTATTGTTAATCTCTTACTGTGCTTCATATATAAATTAAACTTTACCATAGGTATGTACATAAAAGAAAACACCTGGTATGTATGAGGTTTGGCACTATCTCTGGTTCCAGGCTTCCACTGAAGGTCTTGGAATGTATCCCTGGTGGATAAAGGAGGACTACTTTATACATATATCAAATCATTATGCAGTGCACCTAAAACTAATACACTATCTGTTGATTATTTCTGAATTTTTAAATGTTTGGGGGAATGTATGTGACTACAAAACTACTAATTACTACTAATTATACCAAATTTTCATTTTATTTATTTATTTTAAGATTTTTATTGATTTATTTGAGAGAGAGCAGGAGCAGGGGAGAGGCAGAAGGAGAAGGAGAAGCAGACTCCCTGCTGAACAGGGATCCCCCCCACACACACCCCGCCCCTGACACGGGGCTCGATCCCAGGACCCTGGGATCATGACGTGAGCCGAAGGCAGATGCCTAACCGACTGAGCCACCCAGGTGCTCCTGAAATTTTCATTTTATAGTAACCCTTACACATGGACTTGAGAAAACCTCTTTTAGAAATCTTGGTGGAGGGGCACCTGGGTGGTTCAGTCAGTTAAGTGTCCGACTCTTGATTTCAGCTCAGGTCATGATTTCAGGGTGTTGAGATCGAGCCCCACATTGGGCTCCAAGCTAGGTATGGAGCCTGCTTAAGATTCTCTCTCCCTCAATCCAAATCAAAACCTCAATGAGATACCACCTCACACCAGTCAGAATGGCTAAAATGAACAAGTCAGGAAACGACAGATGTTGGCGGGGATGCGGAGAAAGGGGAACCCTCCTACACTGTTGGTGGGAATGCAAGCTGGTGCAACCCCTCTGGAAAACAGTATGGAGGTTCCTCAAACAGTTGAAAATAGAGCTACCATACGATCCAGCAATTGCACTACTGGGTATTTACCCCAAAGATACAAATGTAGGGATCCGAAGGGGTACGTGCACCCCAATGTTTATAGCAGCAATGTCCACGATAGCCAAACTGTGGAAAGAGCCAAGATGTCCCTCGACAGATGAATGGATAAAGAAGATGTGGTATATATACACAATGGAATATTATGCAGCCATCAAAAGGAATGAGATCTTGCCATTTGCAACGACGTGGATGGAACTGGAGGGTGTTATGCTGAGTGAAATAAGTCAGTCAGAGAAAGACATGTATCATATGACCTCACTGATATGAGGAATTCTTAATCTCAGGAAACAAACTGAGGGTTGCTGGAGTGGTGGGGGGTGGGAGGGATTGGGTGGCTGGGTGATAGACATCGGGGAGGGTATGTGCTATGGTGAGCGCTGTGAATTGTGCAAGACTGATGAATCACGGATTTGTACTTCTGAAACAAATAATGCAATATATGTTAAGAAAAAAAAGAAGAAGAAGAAGAAGATAGAAGGAGGGGAAGAATGAAGGGGAGTAAGTCGGAGGGGGAGACGAACCATTAGAGACGATGGACTCTGAGAAACAAACTGAGGGTTCTAGAGGGAAGGGGGTGGGGGGATGGGTTAGCCTGGTGATGGGTATTAAAGAGGGCACATTCTGCGTGGAGCACTGGGTGTTATGCACAAACAATGAATCATGGAACACTGCATCAAAAACTAATGATGTAATGTATGGTGGTTAACATAACAATAAAAAAATTAATAAAAAAAAAAAAGATTCTCTCTCCCTCTCCCCCTCCCCCTCCCCTCTCTCTTTTTCTCTCCTCTAAAAGAAAAAAAAAATCTTGGTGGAATAAGTGTGTGAACAGAGGAAAATGAAACACTGAAAAAAAAATTTTAAGGGTATAATTATAAGGTATGACCTGAAATTTTTAGCTAGTCATTTCCATTGGCCAGGTTGTTTTTTTTTATGGTATGTTATGTTATTTTATTGTACTTATTTATTTATCTTTATTTTTATTGAAGTATAGTTAGTTTCAGGCGTACAACATAGTGACTTGAAAACTCTGTTGGCCAGGTTTTTAGATGATCACTCAGCATTTAAAATACACAAAGACTTGATATAGTTTGTAGATCTGTATCCACTGAGAGCCAAACAAATGGATGGCTTCATAACAGTAGCTAACACGTTTGTCACCAACCATGTGACAGACTTTGTATGCGTTTCTACACATGCTTCTAGCAACCCTACGTACAGGTAGTAACTAAAGCATAACAAAACTAAGTTCTTCCCCAAGACCTTCAGCTAGTGATTCCAAAACCAGGGCCCCTCTAAACAGCCCTGGTTAAAAATGGACGAAATGGGGGCACCTTGGTGGCTCAGCTGGTTAAGCGTCCGGCTCTTGGTCTCAACTCAAGTCTTGATCTATGGGTCGTGGGTTTGGGCTCTGCATTGGGCTCCACGATGGGCATGGAGCCTACTTAAGAAAAAGGGGGGGGGGAACAGTGGATGGAGGGCTGGCGGCGGCAGCGGCGGGGCCGGAGCGAGCAGGGGTTCGGCGGCCTCACCTGTCCCCACTCTCTGGTGGCGACCGGCGGTGGCAGGCAGCGCGGCGGGCGGGGAGGGCCGCCACCAGGTGTGCAACAGAGGAACATGGCTCAAGAAACTAATCACAGCCAAGTGCCTATGCTTTGTTCCACTGGCTGCGGATTTTATGGAAACCCTCGTACAAATGGCATGTGTTCAGTGTGCTATAAAGAACATCTTCAAAGACAGAATAGTAGTAATGGTAGAATAAGGCCACCTGCTTCTGTCAGTAGTCTGTCTGAATCTTTACCCATCCAGTGCACAGACGACAGCGTCCCGGATGCCCAGGCACCGCTAGACTCCACGTCTGCATCTGTGCAGCCAAGCCCTGTATCAAATCAGTCACTTTTGTCAGAATCTGTAGCATCTTCCCAAGTGGACAGTACATCTGTGGACAAAGCAGTACCTGAAACAGACCTGCAAGCTTCAGTATCAGATATGGCACAACAGCCATCTGAAGAGCAAAGCAAGTCTCTTGAAAAACCAAAACAAAAAAAGAATCGCTGTTTCATGTGCAGGAAGAAAGTGGGACTTACTGGGTTTGAATGCCGGTGTGGAAATGTTTACTGTGGTGTACACCGTTACTCAGATGTACACAATTGCTCTTACAATTACAAAGCTGATGCTGCTGAGAAAATCAGAAAAGAAAATCCAGTAGTTGTTGGTGAAAAGATCCAGAAGATTTGAACTCCTGCTGGAATACAAAATCCTTTGACCATCTGCAAACTAAAAATTGACTTGAGGTTTTTTTTTCCTAGTCATTGGGAATGTAGAGCAATGTATCTTGCATAGACCTTTTAATCATGCGTGTCATCAGAAGAATAGATTTTCGTTTTTGTTTTGAAAATGACTCTGAACATTTATTTCCACTGCAGTTTCTGTGGCTGAAAAGACTTAAGTAAACTTTACAAGTATTATCCTTTTAAGATCATTTTAATTTTAGTTGAGTGCAGAGGGCTTTTATAACAAACGTGGAGAAATTTTGGAGGGCCGTGATTTTTCCAGTATTAAACATGCATGCATTGATCTTGCAGTTTATTTTCTCATTGTGTGTGTACATAGCTTTTCTCTGCAGCACGATCTCTGTCGATGGCGCCCCTCAGGGCACAACTAGTTACCAGTCACTGAATGTATCTTCATCCTTACGGCTGCTTCTGGGTTTTCATTAACAAAGGTTCTACATATGTTACCATATAGTTTCTTTGCACCCACTATTTATGTCTGAATCATTTGTCACAAGAGAGTGTGTGCTGATGAGATTCTAAGTTTGTGTGTTTTTAAATTTTTTTGAGCGAGGGAAGGAAAAGCTGTAAGCATTTCATTGCCGACCGCAGGTTTCTTTCAGATTATGTTCATTGGTCTGTGTGTATACAATATGAAGAATGATCTGAAGTAATTGTGCTGTATTTATGTTTACCCACCAGTCTTTGATTAAATAAAAAGGAAAACCATAAAAAAGGGGGGGCAAAATGATTGAGACCTTATAAATGTTTGCAAGTGTGGGGAACTCTCCCTTTCTGGAAACTACTGTGAGAAAGAATAGGAATGCTGTCTCATTGTTTTAAAGTAGTCATTGCCTATTGGCAGAACATTGGACGTAAAACTAGTGTTAGGAACTGAATATCTGTACTTTAAGGATGGGTTTTATAAAATGACCAATGAGGCAAAAATAATTTTTAAATAATGACAGCTATCTTTTCTCCTAGGAAAATGCCTCCAGAACCCCTTAGCCTTTCAAGATAATATATGAGAGAATACTCACTGGCTATGTTCTTACTATAGTGTGTGAAATATTTGTAAATGTGTGCTATTGGTGTGAAAGGAGTTTAAATTGTTTAAATATTTAGAATCCTAACTATTTTACTTGAAAAAAAAAACCCAAAATGTAGTTTCTAAACTCACCCAGAGATACAATATGCAATGCCCATTTTCTTATCTTTCCCACACCTCTTGAAAATCATTTTTAGGGGCACCTGGGTGGCTCAGATGGTTAAGTGTCTGCCTTCAGCTCAGGTCATGATCCCAGGGTTCTGGGATCGAGCCCCATGTCGGGCTCCCTGCTCAGTGGGGAGTCTTTTTCTCCTTCTCCCTCTGCCTCTCTCCCTGCTTGTGCACTCTCTCTCTCTCTCAAATGAATAAATAAAATCTTAAAAAAAGAAAATCATTTTTAAAGAAGACATTTGAGGGGCATCTGGGTGGTTCAGTCAGTTAAGCATCTGACTCGATTTCAGCTTAGGTCTTGATCTCAGGGTCGTGAGTTCAGGCCCCACATTGGGCTCGATGTTGGGCATGGAGCCTACTTAAAAAACAAAAATATCTGATCAACCATGAGGTATATCACAAACCCCTGAGGACAGAGACCCCAGAAACTTCCTCCAGAAGGGAAAACAAAGGTTATGTCGAAAGGATGAAGAATCAGAGAATCAGAATGGCTTTGGACCTGCCCACAGTAACCTAGGAAGCTAGAACAAGATGGAGCAGTGCCTTGAAAATTCTGAGGAAGCCTTCCAGCCTGGACTTCTACACTCAGCCAAACCACCAAACAAGGGTGAGGGCAAAATAAAGATATCTTCCGACTTGCACATTCTCCAAAAAAAAGTGTCCTTTCATGTACCTTTTCAGAAGACAGTGCTCAGAAATTAAGAAGACAGTTAAGGAAGTACACCAAGAAAGAGGAGGCTACAGAATCCACAAAGCAGGTGATACTACATTAGAGGGAGGGGGAGAAGGCCCAGGGATGAAGGTGTAGGCAGATCTCTGGTCACAGAGATGCTGCAGGCCTACAGAGCTCTCGTGCTCTCGGTGACTCTCCAGAAGAGATAACCTCTGAGAAGAAAGACCTAATGGCATTCCAGATGTGTTTGGCCCACTCGAAAGGAGACTTCCACAACTGGGAGAAGTGTTCAGAGGTGAATAATTTTTAAGTACGTAGAAAACTGAGAAGCTGAACCACATGGCTTCGGGAAAACAGGTTGTGCAAACAAACAAAAAAAGGGAGACTGATCTTAAGAGACGTCATGACTCAGCTGTGAATAGTCATAATTGTGTTGACACTGATGATTGGTCACACAGACATTGTGACAACAGTACTGGGGCAAAAGAAAGTATAGGCGCGTATGGTGGTGAGGATTAGGCAAACAGAATGTGAACCCTCTTGGTTTCGGTGGGAACTCAGTGGATAATGCCTAGAATGGAAGAAAAACAAGCCGTAAAGATAGAAGCATGTTGCATACAGATGAGGTAATTACCTAAAGCAGTAGCTCAACTAATGGAAATCAGTTGATTCTCACTACAAAAATGGAAGGGGGGGGCGCCTGGGTGGCTCAGATGGTGAAGCGTCTGCCTTCAGCTCAGGTCATGATCCCAGGGTCCTGGGATCGAGTCCCGCATCGGGCTCCCTGCTCCTTGGGAGCCTGCTTCTCCCTCTGCTTCTCTCTCTCTCTCCCTCTGTCTCTCATGAATAAATAAATAAAATCTTTAAAAAAAAAAAAAAAGGAAGGGGGCAGCCAGGGGACTGTTGTGATTTTGTAATAAGCCTTGTAGAACTGTTGACTCTTTGAATTCTGTGCATGTTTAGAAGTTAAACTTTAAAAGGGGAAAAGGGAGGGGAGAATTCAAATGAGAAAAAAAATGACAAGATGAGGTACACTTCCTTTTACAAAGGAGCTCAAAAAAGAATACTCCCAAATTAATACAAAACAAGGAATTAAGATTCACCTCAAGTGTAATTTCCTAAAACAGATCATTAAAAAGAGAAAGTCATGGACTTCTGTGTTCCTCCCCCTTTTCCTTTCCACCCACCCAAACGCCCGGCCAGATGATTATGTTTATCTGCTGTAAGACAGCAATTATAGGGGACTTCATCTTGGGGTTGGCTTCTGCCTGAATAGGAGGACTAGACAGTGGAGGCCAAGTTTGAGCCTCATCATCTCTCCTAGGCTCTTTTTTTTTTTTAATTTATTTATTTTAGAGGGGGCAGAAGGCAGAGGGAGAGAGAGAATCCCAAGCAGACTCCCTGTTGAGCACGGAGCCTGACTTGGGGTTTGATCTCACAACCCTGAGATCACGACCTGAGCCAAAACCAAGAGTCAGACACTCAACTAATTGAGCCACCCAGATACCCTTGACTTCGGCTCTTGATTGTCCGGCTGTGTGTCTGGCTTCTCTCTGCTCCTCATCTGATTTTTAGAACATCTGAGGTCCAGCCATCTTGTATCCCCCTCTTCTGTTGGCTTCCTGGCCAAGCCCATCTGTCCCGTCCGCCTGGCTCTGACTCCTTCCTTACCCCGACCTTGCTGTCTCCACCCCCTGCCCTATCCCTTTCCTCAGCCTAATTCTTAATTACTGGCTCCTACCTCTTCATGAAAACTTGGCTCAATCCACTTTGAAAACCCAAGGCGAATGGGACTGCCTGGGAAGAATTTGGAGAATCTGCTGTTCTGTTCTTTCTTCATTCTTGAGACCCAGGAAAGCTGCTGAGGGCACATGTGAGGAGAAGCCTGTGCATGTGTTTTGAGAGAAGAGGGTACAGCCACCTTGGGCCCCATCATTCTCCCTGGAAACGCTATCATGTCTATTTCTGAGATCCTGGTGCATTCTTTCATTTATATGTTCTTCTGTTTCTCTTAGAAACTGTTCTAAAATTTTAAACCCAGAGGCATCTTTCCAGCTTCCTTGCATGAGCTGTATTTTGATCTCTTAAGAGGCTGTGACAAGACTCCAGTCCGTGGTGATTTTACACCAAGTGACATCTGATTCGCTTTTAAACTGCATTCCATACCAATCAGCCCAGCCCTGCAGTTTGTGGACTAACTCCTGTTGTCTCTCAACATATGGAGCGCTATTAGATAGTGTGAGTTTGAATCTTGTCAAGGAGGCTGATTAAGCCACGGTCGGGGACAGTCGTCCTAAGTGTGAAATGTAACAGGCCCTCTGAAACAGCGTTGTGAGCCTCTGGAGGTGGTTGGTGCCTCTCTGTTGGGGCATCGGGAGCTTGCTAACAAAGCAAACACATTTTTTTTCCTAGCTTGGACTAGGTCTATGGCAGTAACATTTGGCAAGTTGAATAACAGGGAACATAGATAACTGTGAACAGATGGACAACTATTAAAAGATTTGAGGGGCTTTTATCATCTCTCAAATGGCCTTCACCCACCTACTGGATACCCAGTTCCCTTGCAAAATTACGTAAAGGATTCAATTAAATTTCTTCTTCCTTTTTTTTCAATTGCAGTAGAAGCAAAAGCTCTGACATTAAGAGGAAAAGAATAGATGAGAAACTTCTAATTCTGAATCCCCTTGGGATTAGATGCTGGTTTCAGCCGTGCAGAGAATACTGCCCCATATTTTGAAAGAGTAGCTGCTGGTAGTTTCAGAGGAGATGACTTTCCAAAATAGACAGTGAACTCCCCCATCTGTATCTGATGACCATCTGACATTTGGATGCAGAATTACAGAGCGATCCATGTGTTTTGATAAGTATAACCTTGCTTTTAAAAATGGCAGTGGCAAGTCATTATGTTTAAGCTCAAAACTAGTGAAATACAAAATGCAAAAAAAAAATGCATTACCTGGTTCTTTGCAGAAATAAGAAATATTACACGTCTTAGAGCAATAATATTTACCCACCCTCTGGGGCAGCACTGTCTCTGATGTGGGAGCATGCCAGTCCTCTTTGGCTCAAGGTGATGCTTGGAAAGTTTGCAAGTGTGAGAACGACAGACACTGATTTAAGATGAGGCGCGTTTTACTCTCTCTGGGGCAGAATCCTGATTTTGCCAAAAGCAGTCATAGGTTGGTACGGTGGGAGCTATGGTACCTCTACGTTGGATCTCATGAACCCGGCCAAATTAGATTGGGTTCCATTCCTCAGGGGTTGCCTTCATAACATTTCATTATAAGGCCAGCAATTCTAAGGTACTTACCTGTGTACACTCAGAGTAGCTCTTGAAGGAGTGTATGGAAGCAGGAAGGATAGATACCCAACCCCACTTTTATCCTCCATTCCCTTACTCAGCGTCAAACCCAGTTAATCCTAGTCGAAACTGCTGGGTTACTGAAGCTCCCTGTCTCCAGAAACCACTCCCCCACCTCCAGACCTAAATTTTGTCCAAAAATAACCAGCAGGAAAAGGAAATAAACATTTTTGATATTTTAAATTAAAATCTCCGCCATTCAGAATAATCATAATCTAAAATAATCCAGCAACAGAAGCACTAAAGGTAGTGATAAGTAGAAGACTCTTGGAGGTAGAAACCCATTTGCCTGCTAAATGATGCAGTTTTATAAACTCATAGTTCCGTGCTGGGCTGTTTGGTTTAAAGGTAATTGAGTAAATAAACAATTATCAGTGGGTTTAACATCCCCTGGAGAGTTATACTTGCACAGAAACAATCATTAGAAATAGTTAAAATGTGTTCCTACCATTGAGTAGGATAAAAGTTGGCAATATTAACTGTGAGATA